ATTTGAATTTAATTTGGAGATCACAGTAGTCCTTGTCCTAAAGATTAATTGACTGAGTGAAAAGGATACTGTTGCTCTTCAAATCTCTGTGGATGATTGATTTGGCATGGAGGTAACTGAGGAGGAAAATAACAAGTTATTAGACTAAATGCATACATGGTGAAACGTCTCAGGTTTTGCATTTGTCAGGGAACTCACTCCATGCCCTGAGCGGTCTGCCGGGCAATGTCAATCAGCTTGATCATCTCAAACTTGGTCTCGATGATGTGTAGGTGGTGGTACAGACTGGAGCCTTCACACCACTGGGTCACTATGGCCAGCTGAGGCTTGGTGGTGTAGCCCATGAACAGTAGGATGTTCACATGACGCGTTTTCCTGGTGGAAACACATACAGGTTTTATAGCTTTGTTAAAGGAGGAAAGAACTATGATATCAAGTTGTAGAGCAGTATAAAGGTACAAAATATATGGATTCCGCTGATTAAACAGTAGGTGGCAGAAGCTACCTGAGGACTCCCACTTCATTCTTGAAGGCCTGAAGCTGCTGTGGTGTAGGAGCAGTGACATTCAACATTTTCACTGCCACATCACCTGAGAGGAGAGGGAGGACATTTCGGTCAAAAATACACCAAAATTGGTGTTGCACAAGCAGAGTAGCAAACTCCCAGAGCCCTCCATGAGTGTTCCCCAGACCTTCTCCATACAAAGGTGGCGATTCTCTTTCTGATCTACTTTTGTTTTAGCCATGAAGCTGCTCGTTGAACTGTACTTGGCATTATGTGTATGACATATGCAGCCTAACATGGCCTGATTGCATCTGGTTATTCCAAGAAACCCATATGAAGCAATAAACACATCTATATATTATAGAGATATTATTCTTGCTTATTTGTGATCAGCTTTTTGTCCGTAAGAGCTGCATCTACTGGCAGATGACAATACATAGTTAACATGGGCCTGAACATGCAGTGCCGTTTTGTTATGATATGGGGAAACTCATTTATTTTATGTTGGAGCATAGTGCAATACTACTGTATGTGTAATCTTATTACAAATACATCTGTGTCCCACAACCTCTGACATGATGCTTTTTCTTTATACACTTCAGATACACTGTCAGTTCAGGGTGTGCAATGGCAGGGTAGTTCTGGGATGAAATGGCAGCATTACACACAGCAGTTACTGTGAGGTAACACAAAAGTAGATCCGAAAAAAAAAGACACCACCATTACCCCTAGGGGGCTCTGTAGCTTTGTTATTGACTGCAAAGACCCACATTTAGATTTAGCATTTCAATTATTTCCATTCAATAACCTCATCCATCAGTTGTTTTTAACTTATTTCCATTTATTATGGTAAAACGGCAGTATTACCTTCTTTAAATTAAAAAGATTTTACATATATTTATACATTAAATGACAAAAGGAGGTGTTCTGAAGCCTTTTTAGGGGCAATGTCATGTTTCACTGCAAAAGTTGTAAACATTGCATATTGGCACAAAAACTTAATTTATAAAGTTACAATAATTTAACTGGAGTTGTGAATTAGTGCATTCAACATGATTAGTACCTCTGAATTGTCAGAGAAACTGTTAGGATATACAAGCACATTTATACCATATCGGTGAATCTCTGATTTCTGGAAAAGAGAAACTATTATCTTATATTCAGACAAAATTGATAATTAATGGCAACATTCAGATTTCAGTCCATATGAATTTGTCTACACATATTGTTATAGGTGGTAACTATCAATTTTACTGGCTTATTTGTAGAACTGTGTTTTGATGGCAACAGTTTCCTTACTTGCTGCTAGCTGTTCTCCTGTGTTGTTCTTACCGTGCCACTTTCCCTTGAAGACAGTTCCAAAGGATCCAGAGCCTATCCTCTGGCCCAGTGTGATCTGGCCCTCAGGTATTTCCCAGTCATCACTGGAGTCCCTTCTCCCCAGGGTTTTCTATTCCACAAAACAAAATCAGCACACACACAATCAACTGTAGAAAAATACTGTAATACTCAATCTCTCACCATCTTATTGCGGTCCTCAGACGACGATGATGATTTGCGTTCTCTCTGTTGGCATGGTGACTTCTGTGGAACCTTGACGTTGGTCAGAGAGCCAGGTAAAGAAGCAGGGGGTGTAGCTGACAGCCCTGTGGTGGAGCCTGGAGCAGGATCAGGGATAAAAATAAGAGAAACAATAAAAGAAGGGAGGTGAGGTGGGTAAGAAAAACAGGTTAAAAAAAGATGAGAATAAACAGAAGAGTAGAGAAAAGGTTTGGGGCAAGAACAGGGACTGAGGCATCTGTATCAGCTGTGTGTGTGTGTGTGGTCACATGCACAGAAGAAATGTGAGGGAGTACTTGGTTGGATGATAGTTAATGGTTTAATAATCTAAACTTCTTAAATTCATCAATGTTATTAACTACTTCTATCAAGATTGCAAAGGATATTATGATATCTAAGAAAAAGTCAGCTGATCGAACTGTTGCTTGCTTAAGCAATTTACAATAAAACCTTAAACATAAAAGATTTCTGAGGCAAGTCCAGGATGTGCTTAACACAAAGACTGGAAGAATAAGGAAACTGTTTTCAGGTGGTAACCATGAAGAGTGAAAATCTGGCCTTCCAGAAGCAAAAATTTGAATTTTAAGAAATATTGAGAACCGCTGTAAATAACTTTAATTTATTCTTACAGATTACGGGGTCAGCGTCATCTTATGCACCATTTAACCATGAAAGGGGGGAAAATATAGACTAAAATAAATACTGTAAATATTACAAATTCAACAAGTCCTCTAACAAATAGTGCCACTATGTTGCCAGGCAGAACTGCAAGAACTCTGCCAACACTAACGGTAACATGCGGCGCAGATTAACAGATTTTCATCATCATGGAAACAGAAAGTGTAACGAAAATCCGTCATCATGAAAACTGCCAACATGCTATAAAGCCATAAGGATTTAATTGCATTTTGTCATGTTATGGTTAAGTTTAGGAACAAACACCACATGTTTATATTTAATAAGAAAAACAACTTGGCTAGTGGTCACCAAACATAACACGTAACTGTTGGTGGTAAATAACCTGTTGGCACAAAGAGGAGGACAGTCTCTACATATTACTCAAAATTAGGGCTGAAAGATTTTTCATTTTTATAGGATATCAAAAGCGCTATTTGAAAGAGTGCAATGTACAAACCACAAGAGCTACAATTCCAGTTTTATCTTTGGAGAGAAAGGGTTTAGACAGTTGATTTTGCCAAGCTGCTGCCACCAAATATTCTTGTAGCTAACATTAAGTCTGTAAGTTGGCTAACAAAAAGCAAAGTCTTGGCTGTTGCCTGGTTACTTTACTCTGAATGTTCCCACCAACCCATTCTGTTTATGCAGTTTAAACTCGGGCCAAAGATGGTTTTGTTGAAGACAAAGAAATATCTTAACAAATAGACAATGGGCTCAGTCTCTTTGTTCAGAAAGACCAACAGAGTAGTGAGTAGACAAATGATCTAAATTATGGCTTTGTTTCAATTTCAGACCAGCAGCCAGCAGACAACATTGGTAATTGGCAAGAGTAAATCACATCTGTTGAAAAGAGTTAATGGAATCTCACAGTTAAAGTAACACATAATATTATCATTTTTAAACCTCAGAATCTGGACCTATAGGATTCAGAACTTTAAAGTAGCCTTTATGTCAGTTTGTGATGTCGACTTTAATGTGAGCTTAAGCAGCTAGAGTGCAGTCAAATGTATTATTAGGGGTTATTTATCGACCATAGATGATAAATGACTGAATAAAAGAGCATTTTATCAATCAAACTATCATCCATAAAATAAGAAGTGTCTCATCAGAGCTGCAGTGAGTTCTCTGTAACCTGTGAATTGCCAGGTGTAATGTAGGGAGAGCATGTGAGGACATAAAGGGGAAAGACAGAGAGAAGAGGAAACAGCGGATGTGACAGAGGGGTGAGGCTGATTTGTGGGGAGGTGAGGTGGAGTGTTGGGGGTGGTGAAGGACACAGGAACACACAGAGGCCTAACTACCTCGGAAAACAGGCTCAGGCTCAAAATCAAACACTATGTCATTGGGGTAGGAGTATAGAAGGGGGCTTGAGGTCCGTGTTCGGTGCTTCCTCAAGCAGCGGGCAGGGTGGGTCAGGGGGGCTGCAGGGCAAAGAGAGACAGACAGATGATCACTGCTACTCACTCTGCCCCTCTCACCTCTACTATCTACAGCTAACCTCGTGGATAGAGATCCCTCCTACCACACTACAATGTTAGCATGTTAACTTAGCTCTGTTAGGGTTATCTTCAGGCTTTACACAGCCACATTTATGTAGATTTAATACAATTCAATAATTTTGCTTGTGTTTTACAGTTAAAGCTACAATATGTAATATTTTTTTGAATATTTTTAGTAGAAATATTCCCCAAAACTTATCTTAATGAGGAGAGGGGCCATTAAAAGGCTCCTGTGACCCCAGACTCATTAATAAGGGTGCAAATCACCGGTCTCAAATTTTCCTCTGCTCCTCCCTGCCCCTCCTGCTCTGTCTGTGAAACTACATCATATGTTGTAATTACAGCCAGAGACAGACGCAGCAGTCAGGCAGTTCAGTGGTAAGATTAGCGCGTATGGAATATAACCCACAGAGCCCGTGGTTTTCGGTGGCATTGCAGTGACACAGATCAAAACTGAGCAAAATTACTTCATTTGCTAATCCAGGAAAATGCGCTGTTTCCGCTAATTGGACAACAAAACACTAACGCTGCAGTCAGTTGGAATGATTCAATACAAAAAGGTACAAAACTGAAATGCTAAGGTTAGCTTGCTAATGATGCCGACGTATACAGGTTTGAAAAATGCATCTTATAACCTTGGACCAGCCGGGGTGTGGAAGTAGCGTGGTGCAGATTTTAACAACAGTGGCCACAGAAGGGAAAGAAGTACTTTGTTGTGTGTACTTTTTAATCCAAAATATATTTATGCCCATGACTTGTTCCTGATGGGAGAGTTAACTTTTCCTGTGTATGTTCCTTGGTTGCTACAGGTCAAGGCCAATTCTCATAGAAAGCATTTTTCACCCTTCTCATGCAATGTGTCAGTCCACACAGAGATATGAGAATGAGACTCATGTCACCCCTACACCCCCTGCGTGTTTTATGCCCCAGCTTTATTTCTCTGCTCTGGTGTATTTAACAAAGCATAATCCCCACAGATCGTTTGTCTTGTCAATGTCCTGACAGACGGCTGTTCTGATGACAGTGATGCTACAAGAAGGTCAGAGTCGGTGTGGACTTAACAGATCTAACGCTGCTCACATCTCACTTTTAGTGTGGATTCCCAGTCTCAGACCGCTGGTTGCAGCGCCTGGAGCTTGCTGTACAGTTTGAAGAGAACAGTGGTTCACTTTCTAAATGCGTACATATGTGACTGGCTGCCAAAGTAGAAGTACACATAACATCTAACATCATTGTTTATGTTTTACATCGATGTCATCAGATCGAGGGGTGTTTGTTCGATGTATCCAAACTGATGGACTGTTACACCCCTACTCATCAAACAGTCTGGCAGCAGTGCAGAGATATTCCCTTCTAAAGATTTTTGAGCAGGATTGCTCTACTAACCAATTAGGGCTGTCACTTTTCACTTAAAATTTGAACATTTCTTCGAATGTGGTAAAAAAAAAAAAAAATTCAAGCTGTAATGACATGTTCAAAGTCAAAAATGTACTCCATCAATAAGCACAACAGGCCGTTGCTGTTGCAATTTGCCTTGCAGTCCAGCAGCGGACGTTCTTAAAATTCACTATCAGCTTGAACAGTTGCCATCCTATTGACTTGACCTCTCAGTAAAGTAAGCTAGTAACATTATGCTTGCAGAGAAAAAAAAATGCAGGATAGTAGCGAGCAAGGTGTCAATGTAAAAGGTTTGCTGAGTAAGGCACCTACGTAAGCTTAAAGTTACCAAAGACGAGCGGAGCAGCATGTGTCCTACAGCCTCACCTGGCTGCCCTACCCCTACAGCACCTCTAGTAGAGCCAGGGACAGCTGAGGATTATTATAGAGCTGTAACTGTGTTTAAGGTGAAATAGCTAAGTAAGTAGGTTTCCAGGCAACTCAAAAAGCTATTACCCACCAATGGTTCAACTGCTACTGGTTTCCATTGTGTTATCATGGAATATATGAGTGATTAATATTCATTACAGTTCCTGTTTAGTTGTCACTGATGAGGCATTAGTTTACAGGGACAATTAGAACATTTTCTTCTGCTAATTATCTACAAACAAAACGTGTTGTTTGGTTAATTTATCTTTAACACAAAAGGTTTCAACACTGCCTCTATCTCAGGTACTACTAATTTACACAGTTAAAGACACTGAGCACTGTTAATGCTCTAAGATGTGTTGTGTGGGTTTCCTTTTGTAATGCTGCCTATCTACCACAGGGCATTACTGCTGCTGCCCCAGTGTAACATAAAACACAGCAACTGTCTATTCCATTTTTATTGAACATAACGCTATATTTAGTAGAATAATGGCAGACAAATTTGTAACTTCACAATATCAGAATAGAAAAATGTCTCTATACGTCATGGGACTGTGACCAGTGTGTGAAATACAGGGGGGTCTGAGTGGGTCTCTGATCCCTTTACTGACAGCTCAGACCCCTTATATCTTAAAGTGAAACATCTGGGGGGTCTCAAATGTGCGGAATTATTTTCTATTTATCTACAAAATACAATTTATTTGCATGTCACTGTATAAATGGTTAATTGTTTCTAAAATTATAAAATAAAAACATATTGTATTCACTGCATTTATGGTATTGTACAAAAATGACCCAGAAACTGATTGCAGTCCGCTGGAGCACACAGGCTGTTAAAGATATATATATTTTTAGGATCAAACCATCATAAAATGCAAAAATATGCGCAATGTATATCTCTGTGGCAGTAGCAAACTTTTATATTATTTATTTCATCTGAGGAAATTGTATCTGAGTGAACGATAGCAGCACACAAGGTCGTACTGATCGCTGTCGGTGCCTGTAACATGGAATGGGACATTGCTATTTACCATGGCTCCATGGGTTACTTTGTTCACTGATGTGTAGGTAGATTTGGTGCATTTTGTGCCAGCCAGAGTGCACAGTAGCATTCACCGTAAAGGTATGCCCTGCCACACCAGGATATTACATATGCCATATGCGACGTGTTGGAGACCCCTGACATATGGTTATTTCGCTCGTTTAACTGCGTTCAGGTTGCAGAATTGAAACAGATGTGGCAGATGTCAACTTTTAGAGCTGTTGTATGGCAGCATTTCAGTTTTCCCTTTTCAATGATGCAGGCAGGAAGGAAACTGACAAATGCAAAACTATTTGCAAATACTACCAGATGAAGGCAATACTAACCCTATTTAGGACTGAGATAGTCCTAGATACAGCTCACAAAAACAGTTGGGACGTGGCTGCGCACGAGACTTTAACAGATATGGGCAAACAAATCCGATGCACATATGCAAAACCAACCACCATTAAAGTCTTTTCTCTTGAAAAAAAAAATAGACCAGAATGTTTGAAAAACAAGCACAATCCTCAACCATCCAATATGTTGTCACAAAACATTTCTGTGAACGTGTAGGGTGCACTCATTTTTCCTCTGCCGATGTTCACAAATTGTGCTGGCTGTAAATTTGTTTTGTCCACCTGCCCTGTAGTGGAAGCTGCTATACAACTGTGCTGTGTTTACAGTAGACATGAAGCAGGGCAGTCAGCTCAGTGAGATAAGTTCCATTAAATACCCACCAGCAGAATGCTGTCTGCTAATTTGGTGAATTTTTCTCTGAACCGTGGCTCTGTGCGACTGGTTTGGGGTTCACGATGGGCTGGGTAGAGCGGAGCATAGCGAGAAGGGAGTGGGAAGGCTGGGCAGAGCAGAGGCAATTGATTCCAGTGTCTCATACTAGCACTAGCCTGATTTTCAACTCTTACAAATTGCAGCTTTAAGTAGTAACAGTTAGAGCTTAGCACATAGACTGAAAGGAGGGGAGACAGCTGGCTCTTCACACCATGAATACCACTGAATACCACAGCTAGTGTCTGATTGACTGTCAAAGTTCTTAGTGGTTTTATTCCCAGTAAACTTTTGTAATGAAGTTAACGTATTCAAAAGCTACAAGTGCTCCTCCTAAGTCCCCTGAGAAGGAGCTTGGCCTGACAGAGCAGCATTAGATAAGACCAGAAGAAGAAAAACAGGTCCACTGAAGTGGATGTCCTGTTCTTCCAAAACCGGATCCACAGATCTGAATAAGCATGTGTGTGTGCTCAGCTACTATTTTCAGTCACTGGGTGCAGGTCTAAACAGAATGGACAATTCTTTGGATCTGAACTACACACACGCACAACACACACACCCACACACACAAAAGACTGAAAGCACGCAGACGCAGGATGGTGGGAAAAAGGCACAGAATGAGCCTGAAGTCTTCTGATTTGATCCTTACCTCCATCTGACCTTGGTAAACCCTGATCTCGAATCAGGTCCTGAAATGAACGATGAAATAAAAATAAATAATATGAAACCATGTCAGAATTTACATAAATTATTTACTGTACTGTTCTGTACGATTTACTTTAGCAACACTCTTGGGGACTATGTTACAAAACGTGTAGCACCTGCAGTCCATACACATATGTTCAAAACCAATACTGTTGCTTTTCATACTCATTGTGAAGTCAGTTTTTAAAAGGCAATACACTGGAAAATGAAAGTGGATGTGAATTTGTGTGTTGGAAGCATTTTTATAACTTCCTGTCATGTACGAGACAAAACAGGTCTGTCGGGTTGGGTTCGGACGCCAGACTCTTGGGCACACGTTGGGTTTTGACAGAAATACGTGGCCTGATCCATGCTCTACTGTAAGGGAGGTCCATTTTACAAAGACTTTACCATTATAAAAAGAGACCCTGTGCTTGTTGGACTTAGCTAGCAAGTCATCATGTCTGGTTATAAGAGGTGAGGCCATGACAGTCACAGGAACAGAGTGCAGATTGTAGTCTGTTCAGTTTCTCCCTGTTTGAGTATTAAAGCGCATTGTTTGTAGATGCGTGGAATAAAATGTGATGTTAAAACAAAGTGTCATTGAAATTGTGAACTGTTCCCAAGATTGAAGACAGTAAATAAAAGGAGATAATTTTTTGGCTATGCCATTCAGCCCTAGGACAGAATATTAGCCAGACATGACTGTAAAACTTTTGTTGGTTAGCTCCTCCTCTAAATCATCTGCTGTTTGCTTGCAGAGTCATGATGGCTATTCACAGTAAAATATAAATTGCTGAGAAGTAGAGTTGAACAATTATGGCAAAAGTCATAATCATGATTATTTTGGTCAATATTGAGATTACAATTATTTAACAGGATTACTGAATTCACAAAGATCATGCAATTATTGAATAAAATGTCCTTTTATCAGTGGGTTTTTTCACACTTTAAATATCATCCAATAAATTAAGTATTTAATCTACATAATTATGACTGATAGCTCATATGACATACTACTCTATATTTATTTTACAAATAGGTTAACAATATTACCTGTCATAACCTAAAAACACTCACTCACTTTCCTGGGCTCACCATGACACAACCACATCCATCTCTGTTTTGCTTAACAGTAAAGTTGCATAAGGTCTTCTTTCATTTTAGCTTGTTCCAAACAACTAGCTGTTAGCTTAACAAGCTCACTATGATTAACAAACTAGTGGTGGATGTGGGCAAAGGTGAAATTATCACTGCTCTGCAAGTGTATGCTTGTTTAGCGAGTATTTTGATAAATTACTCTTGTTGACTTTTTATTCGTGGAGGTTTTAGTACAGTAACGAGCTTAGGTTTTGTCAGTTCAATATGTTTCACTTCACCCAATGCGAGCAAAAAATGTTCACACCGAGTGCTCTGAAGGGGTTCGCTGGACAAGACAAAATACAAGACAAAGCAAGAACATCATTACAAAACGGGGTGCGGCACAATAATTGTTTTATCTTGATTAGTTTGCTTCCATAATCACTGGAAGCCAAAATCGTAATTGAAAATTAAAGTTTGATTAATCACCCAGGTCTACTGAAAAACACACATTGATCAGTCATTCCAGCAAAGGGAGAGCAGACTCACATCAATGTTGACAGGCTCGATGGTGTTAATATGGACGTTAGGAGCAGAGGATGAACGGTCCCGCTGGCCAAACTGGTTGCGGTGGTCCTCCTCGTTAGGCCGGAAACTGGGTGGAATAGGTATGGACTTAGATGGGGACACAGTGGTGTGGCATAGAGACCTGGAAGGATGAAATTGTTGTTGGGAAAAAGAGGTTAAAACAGATTTTGTAGGACTGTACATTTACTCTCTTTGCTTAATTGAGAGAGTGAAAAAAAACCAAAACATCAGCAACTGTAATGTGTGTTTGGAATAAAAACCTAACTAACTTTTGAGCTTCCATGTGGTGTTGTTAAAAACTGCATAAATACATTAGGAAGAGAGTGACTCCTCCCCATGTTCCACTGAGGAGTGTAAAAAAGTAGGACTCACCCTGTGGACTCAGATGGGGGAAGTGAGGGACAGGCCTCAGACACAGGAGTAGTTCCCTCTGAGGAGACTTCTTCTTGGGTGAATGGGTGATGTTCAAAGAACTTGGACACTAAAAGCAGGCTGCAGAACACACATCATTAAGGTTACTTACTATTTTGTCATTCTCTACCGAACCTTAAGTCAAATTTACCTAGAACATGATCAGAGGTACTGGTAATACTACTACTGGCTAATATAGCCTTGAGCCTCTATGCTTAACCAGAAAAAAGAATCTGGCTACAAAGGTTTGCCATATTTTCCCCCAACTGAAAACAACTGACATAAAAAAAGGACATTTATCAGACAACACAGCTCCCTCTGGAAACAAAAAAGACTTTTACGTTTTCACATATTGAGCAGTACTCCACAAAACCTGAAAACAGGCATTCATGTCTAAAATCACTGAAGTTTCCCTTTAAAATAAAGAACTGTTGTAGATAAAGAAGGCATCAAGATGTCAGTGTAGCCTTTTAAACCCATATGGCCATGCAATGGATGAGAGGCTCAAATGGGCTAGTCCAGGGGAAGTCTGACATTAAACAGATTAATGATGTATAAAGTTAAGTCTACCAAAAATTTATCAACATATAATACAGTATGCAGAGCCTGTACACTTCTTTCATACACCAACAACAGGTGCCACCTACTGGTGCACACAGAGAGACTCTTATCCAGCAACTGAACTACATTACTACAGTACATCAAGTATTAAATAAGTACAGTATAATGGCCCATTTCAGGCACTGCTAATAATAACCAAAATCCAAGATCATAACAAGACATATTTTACTATATGGTCCTTCTCCTGTGTGTGACTTACTCTAGCTGGTCGTAGTTGACACACATGAGAGGAACCTCAGTGCTGCAGCGTTGGTGGAACTTGTAGCCACAGGTCTGACAGCGAAAACCCTGGAACAGCAGCTTTCTGCAGAAGTCGCAGAAGGCCAGTGTGAAGAAAGTCTTCCTCACCTGTCAAACATACACATAAATACATACATTTAATACCAGGTAAGGCCGAGTAGCACAATTGGTGTATAATGTTTACTATCTATCAAGTGATTTCTGATGCAAGACGTTGTCTGACAGTACTTACAAAGTTGTGTGTAGTGAGTGGTACATTCTCCAACACTTCTACATGCAACTCCTCTCCTGTCAGCCAAGAGATGTCTGTATCCCAGCCAATAGGCCTCTTCTCTCTGAACAAAAAGTGGAGACTTAGGGGAACTGCCTACAACCACTCACTGCTGTTGGTTTATCCACCACATAGAAAGTTGTGCAAACACAACCAGTAGAAAACCAGGGAAAAAGACAGTGTTTCACTGATTATAGGTGTGCTTACATTAGTGCGGAAAAACATTGATTTTGCCCGGCATGTTTGGCGACGATTGGCACACAAACCCCTTGGGGGCACTGAACAAAACAGTGCCCCCAGAGCTACAATGCTGATGTTGCCGGCAGCAGATCACTATATTTTAGAGACAAACTGGCTTTTTTTTGTAAAACAGCCTTGGTAGCTACATGTGCATGCTGATATTTCACCAGTTAAATAGGTTGTCTGCCTTTGTCTGGTCTGGATATGGGGTTAATATGTTATTTTACAGTTTGGGAAATTCAGAAACACAAATAGGCTAATTAGTTTTTCATCAGTTCAAACAGTGGTCAACAGTGACTGGCTATGCCCACAGAGGTCAGCAACACTGGGTTCAAAGTTCAACATATTTGAACTTTCAGCACAACCCAACTTGGGGGTGCAATGGAAAGGCATGCACAAAAGCTCTTTGTCTGCAATAATGTGAACACTCCTTTATACAGAGAGATAAATTAATACATGACATGTAGAGTTGTTTATATGTAAACATAAGCTATATTATAGGGGGATAATGAACCTTGGTCTTAAAAGAAGGTTAATAATTGCTGGTCAAACAGGTTTTGGGGTTTTTTTTTCTTTTAAGTAAATCATATAAAACAGTGCTGCCTCTGTAAAGAAGGACTATTGAGTTCAACTTGCTACCAAATAGAAAAGTTCAAACTTGGCTGCCATCTAAAGAGAAAGGCCCCCCGAAGCTGCTGCCTTCTTGTTGTTTGGTTGTACTTCCTTCGTAATATTCACCATGTGAAAAAGCAACTACTGTGGCAATAAAATGTTTCACGATTTAGAAAACAGCTCAACTCCACAGAACAGCTGGTTTCATCAATTAATAAATAAGTCCACGTTTAGTGTACTTGTTTGCTTCCTATGGTTTATGGCTCATTACACAAACTGCAGCATGCACACACATGCAATCATTTGTGTTTTCAAAACAAACATGAAAAGCATCAGAGGCTAAGAACAGCCATCACTTTTTATATACTGTATAGTCAACAGTGCATGCATGCAGCTGCCCTGTTTACATCTGTGGTGTAAACAGCAGAGATCTGATTTCAAAAACTGTAAAAAGTGATGGCCATTCTTAGCCTGAACCTCACATTTCTGTGAAGAAAAACCATGTGGCTCACTGGTGTGTTTTCAATAGCTGTTGGACAACAATGGAGGTCTACTGCACAGATGAATAAGACAAACCAGGTTCTGGATTCACAGTCATTCTGTTGAGTGCATGAAAATCAATGTTGGTTTTAGTCTATATATCGGATTAGTGGGAGGAAAAAAGAAACAGACAAAAAACAGCTTTATCCTTTTAAAAAAAAGTCTGGAACAGACAAGAAGAAGTGCCTGAACTGGTAGAAAGCAAAACAGTTCAGAGATTAATTTATGCTAATTCAGTTCAGGAACTGTAAATGTTATATTATTCAATGAAGTCCAAAATTATTAGGTAAGCATCACATAAAGAAATACAATGTGGGATGTATGAGCATGTTTGTTCCTACAGTGTGTTAGTGAGAGACTTACCCATCCTGTATCCTGTACACTGCACAGCACTCCGGAATGAGGCCTCGCATCATCAGAGCTTTCTTTAGTGAATCTCTCACAGTCATCCCGCAGCGGGCCGGGACCTGAACAAAAAAAAACATGGTCCAGCAGAGTAGTCTAACAACAGAAAGGAAATGAGCAGACATAACCACACCAAGTCTTAATGTTGCAAAGTATGAGTGAGAATGTGCCTTGTAGTTATGAGTGTTGGTAAATATGGTATGCCATGTGCTGGTGCAAGGGCTGTTATCAGCAGGTGAAAAGTGAAAGGTCATCAAAGTTGTGTTCAATATGAAATCACTTTTCTTCTGTAGTCAGAAATACCTACACTTTGGACTGGAAAATACGTTTGATCCCCATGTTGCCAACACTGTGTAATAGTCATAAAGGAAATTCTTTTATTTTGCAGCCTGATTGATTTTTTCCCATAAGTTTGGCCACTGTGACTCTGGGTTATGTTAACTTTTCACTCAACTCCTGTGCTGCAAAGATTGTGAAATCAAGGAGGCATGAAAAGCAATGTTTTGCAGGGCAAGTTGTGCAAGCACAAGTTACATTAGCCAGTGTATTCAAGGATACGTTCAGTTGACCTTAAAACAATACTGACATGCCCATATGTACAGTACAGGAGAACAGGTTTTAGTTGTTGAAACCTTTCCTACTTTCCACACCAAGCCTTATGTTTTACACAAAATAGTGTAAAGGAGGGAGAATGAGCTGGAGAATAGTCCAGTTTATAATGAACTTATAAACATCTCACCCAGTCTCGCATTATGGGGGATCCCGCCAAGTGTCTCTCCGCCCCTAATGTTACACAGCCCCCACCTGGCTGGTTAATGGTCCTCAGTAACCAGGTATAACAAGGTCCTTCAAACATTGAGGGGGCTGCAGTGGTGCTGAGGCCTCTCTGGTGCCTCCTAGGTGGTTGGCGCAGAGGGGTCTGGAGGTCATGGCCACTGTCCAACTCTCACCCCTCAGGTGAAACTAAGGGCTGATATGGTGCAAGTCTGTCCCTGTGGAGCACCACCCATTTCATCTTACTCAACCTCACCCTGCACTCTGCAGCTGACAGTCTATTCACCACAGTACACAGTCAGACCCAGTGGCTTACTGACTGTGGGGACAAGCCCTTCTTCCATCCAGGGTTGTTTGCCTATACCAGTGCATCAGGTAGTTCTCTCTTTAGCTGTGAACACCATGGACCCACGCAAGGCGAGGCACGGCGGCTATCGGCGCCCCCACCTGGTCCTTTTGCAGGGGTGCGTGCAAACTCTACATGGAAGACCTCGCTAGAGGTGGGGAAAACAGCCCGTATGGCTGCAGCCTGGTCCTCAGCACACTGGCCATGCCGGTGTTTCTTAATTCTGCAGCTACTCTCATACAAGCCATTGCTGGCTCATCTGGTCTCAGTGGACACAGCCCTGGAATGCAGTGTAGACATGGATGACCAATGGCTGGCTCTGTTAACGTGTGTGATCCTCCAGCTGGCCGCTCCAGCATCGCAGTTGGGTGCAGCCCTTCCCTACTGGCAGTGTGGAGAGCCACAGAATCTGCACCCAGGCAGCCCCCCCCCACCACCACTCTGCCAACATGTCAAAGCCAATGATGCATGGATGTTGAATGTTGGCCAACCTGAACTGGAGCTCCGTGGTGCGGCCATGAACAGTCACTTTGAGTGTCCTCTCTCTCTCTCTCTCTCTCTCTCTCTCTCTCTTCATCTGTGCGCTTTCGTCAGTCACCTTGGCAATGTGGAGCTGGGTATCTCTCCAGTCCCGTGATCTCTGCCCTCCTCTCCCCAGCAATGTCACTGGGCATGCTAGAGAAATGGTGGACTCAGTGTCCACCAGGGTGCAACACCATGTGCCACTGACTTTACAGTCCAGGTATAGTTGGTGTGTCTGGCCTACACAGCCAAACCACAGCTGTGACAGGTCGAGGGCAGATGAGTGGTCCAGGGGAGCTGGCTGTCATGGCATGGCACCAGTGCTAGGCAATAGCATGCAATGTGGCCCTGTTCCCCACAATCAATTTTAATTTAATTTGTTTATATAGCGTTTTACAACACCCAAGCTTGCTCAAAGTGCTTCACAACAAAACATATTAAAAATAAAAGCAGAACATGTTAAGACACATAAACTAAAAAAAGGAAAACATGCTAAAATTACACAAATTTGAAACCGAGGTCTGTAAGCAACTATAAAACTCCTGTACAATAAAAATATGTCAAAGTACAAACAGAATAAGATTACAGAACATAAAATCAGAAAGCCTGTAAGCACCTGTGTAGCGCCACTGCTATAAATTAAGTGGCAACAGCCAGTCTGAATAAGTGTGCTTTTAATTTAGATTTAAAGGCCATTAACTCATTTATTGACCGAAGCTCAGGCGGTAGGGTATTCCAGAGCTTGGGGTATATACGGCAAAAGAACGATCACTCCACTTTTTGTACCTTGCCCGCGGGTACAATGGGACAACTAGAAACAAATGCTCAGAGGAACGCAGCACTCTGACCAGGGTATGAATAGTTAAAAGATCAGACAAATAGGCTGGAGCAAGGCCATTAATGGCCTTGAACACGAACAATAGAACCTTAAAAACAATTCTAAACTGTACCGGAAGCCAGTGCAGAGACTGAGGGACAGGGGTGATATGAGTATACTTTGGAGTACTTGACAGTAGGCGAGCAGCCGCGTTCTGTACTAGGAGAGGAGGAGAGACTGGTTAATTCCAGTATAGAGGGCACTGCAGTAGTCAAGTCGCAAGCTAATGAAAGCATGAATGGCTTTTTCTAGGTCGACTTGAGATAAAAAAAAAAGGGCTTCACCTTTGCTAAGAGCCTCAGTTGAAAGAAGCTTATTTTGATGACAGAACTAATCTGCTTGTCAAATTTGAGGCTGCTATCAAATAACACTCACAATGGTAGCACCCCTCTCAGTGTCATTCAGCTCCTCTCACACTTCCTTGTGGTAGGGGGGGCGTGGCCGGGACCT